AAATTCTTTGACCAGACTGATAAAATGGTCAAATTGGTCTGGTCAATTGGTCAAACTGGTCTGGTCAGCCCAACACTGTTGGTAACATAAGCCCAACTAGGTTTTATATGCCAAGTAATTGGTTGAAACCATAACAAAAGAAGTGTTTAGTCAGCAGCAAGAATGTTCCTGAATAACTTGGATTATTTGTTCCACATTGTCGGAAAATAACGAAATAACCTCCGATGATACGTATTATCGGGAATAATAGTATATACTGATGTGTACATACGCATGTAACGGTAAACGGCCTCAATTAGCCACTATATATCTACAAATAGTTATTCTTCAAAATTGCGGTCAACCAATACTATAAACGATGGTTCCTCGAATTGTGGGTCATAATGTCCCGATATGTAATTGATTAGTCAATGTAAAAATCAGGCCACCATATATCTAAACAATCGACAATATCACATTGATAGAAATTAATCAATTCTAATAAATTAATCCTCACACCACTTTTTTCAAGAAATTTTTTTGATCTAACGAATGTTATATAAAATACCCTTGATTTCAGGTTCAGGAATTTATCGCCAAACAATTGATTGATTAATTAATGAAATGAGTGAATCCAATTCTTTGCTTAATGGGTCTACTGACCTTCAAGATTTATTAATGTGCGAGTCCTATATTGATGACATCATGGCCACGATTAATAACCTTTCTACTACTCAATCGTCTACCGAAACTTTACCTGAATTTGAAGCCCAAATTCAATCGATGTTCGCCAATAATAACACAAAAGATTCTTCATCTTCTCAATTGAACGATTTGTCATTGAATGATTTTCAATATCCAGTTCCTTCTTCAGACATGCTTTCCCTAGGTTCTCCAAAACCTTTTCTATATTTACCAGATTCCACCTCTTTTGATAATATATGTCCCGAGTCTATGCAATATTCGCTAACTTCTAACAACAACTCTGCAGAAAATATCTGTTCTCAAGAAACTTTTCTATTCTCTCCAAACTCTGCTGACCTTGATAATATTAGTTCTTCGAATCCTTTATATTATTCACCAAATTCTAGCGAAATCTCTGCAGAAGACATTAGTTCTTCAGATACTCTTTCACCATTAAATTATACTCTCTTTCAAGATTTAAATAGTTCTCCAACTAACACTGCACTGGCTGAATTTGGTAGTTACTCTTCTCCAATGGAAAATACATTTGACGCCCTATTATCTTCAGGGTTCAATCTTGATCCTGTAGACATCCAACCTGAATATAATAGAAAACGCGTTTCCCTTGGATATGATTCGGTTTCTTCCGACGAATCTTCAAAAAAGAAACGTAAAGGTGCAAACGGAACTGTTAAATCTGTAAAAAAAACAAATCCTTACCCCAAGTCTATAAAAAAAATCGGTTCTAACAAACATGGGACAAATTCTGATACCAATACCACATTTGAAGAAGATTCTTTGCCATCCAAATCTCCCGTAATTGATGTAGATACTATTAAGGCGATATTGGCTTCTTTGTCTGACACCGCGAATCGAACCATCGAACCTTTTGGCGCCAATCTTATCCAAGACAAGCAAGACGAACATTCTGACGAAGAGGATGCAGTATATGATAAAAGCACACCTTCCAATACCAAGTCTTCGACTGCAACTTCTCAACCACAAAAAAACTCAAAACCGCAAACAAACAAGCAGCAAAAGAAACTTGCTCACAATGTGATTGAGCGTCGTTATCGAAATAACATTAATGACCGAATCAATGACCTAAAAAATGTAGTTCCCGCACTTTGCCATTTGAAAAGCAAAGATGATGATGTAATCGAAGAAGTAGATGGTATTCCGGCTGCTACGAAAACAAATAAAGCTACTATTTTAAGAAAAGCAACCGAATATATTGTGTATCTAAAAAAGAATAACGACATGTTTAAAGACGAAAATGACGTTTTAAAAAAGATTATTCTAACTATTCCTGGTGGTGTCGATTTATTGGAAGCTTATCTTACAAATCTTAGTGATATGAAAACTCCGCCGGATACTCCTCCTTCTGAGACTAATGCTCTATATAAACATAGACCATCTACCAGAAATTCTGGTTCAAGAGCATTGATGGCTTTATTCATGTGCGTCACTTTTCTTACGGATCCATCAAAAAATGCCCAACCAGTTCGGTATCATCACAATGAAGGGCATGTTATTGTTAGTAATACTACTGAATCAGTAGTTCCGGATGGAATTTATAATTCGCAAGGTGGTATGATTGATATCTGGTATATATATTAAAATTTCATTTATTTTTATTCCTACTATTGTTATCATTATCATTATGTTAAACTTACAAATTTAACGTTATTAAATAGGTATTTGGCTAGGATCTTTACTTTCCTTATATGTTTTACTTATGTCATCTGGCCTTCCTTGTTTTCAATCAAAGCACAATTCTCCCGTAAATCCGCTATAAATTCTGTTTTATCTTCCAAGGTTAAGAATGCAACAGAACTTTATTCGTCTCTTTCGCTTCTATCGAATAGTTCGTCAATGAATACTTTAGGATTTATTGTTGGTCTTTTTATCGAATCTTTGAGATTGTTTTTGAGAAGATTTTTGGGCTGGGAAATTTCATGTAGTAATGCTAATGTAGACGCCGATGAAAGATTGTTAGAGGTTGAATTATGGAATAGACTCGGTGAAATAGAATTATGTGGTGGTGAGTATTTTAGTATAAAATTATGAATTGATAAATGATATTAATATTTACAATCTAAAAATTTTATCATTTTTTTCAGGAAACAAGTATGCATCTAGTCTTTCAATCTTATACAAATGCCTTCGAACGGTTAACCTTTTGGAAAATCCTTACACTTATCATCGGAAAATGCGTATCAGCCCTTCTCGTATTTACGCAAATGCTGCATTACAATGCTATGCTGGCCTCCGCTCAGTTCCCTTTTTATCCCGTAGAGCTGTATCTCATTTCTGGAACCTGGCAATTAAAGAAAAAGGCCACTTCAACTCTGAAGAAAAATGGCTTGAAATCGCGCTTATTAGTGTCAAAAATCACGACATATGGGAAAGTGCAGCAAATAGGATCTGTGATCATGTTTTTAATTTATCCAAAAGCGAAGAAACTCTTAAACCTATTATTAGCACAAACATTCCACTCGTTTATGTTTCTGAAGTTCAAGCACTTTATCATATCAAGGAAGCCTTTTCCAATCTTATTTCTGAACGACAAGGCACAAATAAGATTCTAAAGGGATGCCAATTTACCTTTTCTGAACTTCTCAGTGTTACCACACCTGCCTCTTTAATGCATTGGTATGCATTGGTTGGATGTGTCGTCCAAGCTTTTCATGAGGGTAAAAATGATTCTGGTACAAAACTAGTAAACAAATTGAGGGATGAATTAAAGACTAATGACAACTTGGATAAACGGATTATTACAATGGGTTTACTTTCTCGATCTCTCTTGATTTGTGGTAATATTGAATCTTCCATTCATTGTGCTGATAAAGCTGTCAACTATATATCTTTGCGAAAAAATGAAAAAAAAGAAACTTTAGAAACTGATAAAGATTTGGTGATCGGTGAGATTGTTAATGATGTTCATGATCTTGCAGAGTTTTGTGTTGGATGGATTATTTTAGAAACAAGAATTGTTGGACTGGGAATTATCGGACATTTGTTATCAAAAAATAAGAATAAGCCATTATCAAATGTATTTGACGAGAAACATTTAAGATCTTCAATTGACATTTGGGCTCGTTATCTACGCCGATCATCGAAATCTAATGTATTTGACAGCATCCCAAAGTCACGAGAAAGATTTATAAGGAAACTTGACCTTCTTGGAAGGATTATATCCGGCATCGATGATAATGACTATGGATATAATTGCGATTACGATAAACAGAATACCAATGAGTATAAGGCCACAAGAGCCTTGCATGTCCTAAAGGGCATGTAAACGCAAAATTACGTTTTTTTTTATTTTTTTTTATATCTCGTTATGTATATATTTCTTTTCGTATTTTAAAAAAGTAAGATGTAAAAAGATTCTTATATTCTTGTGATTAAGTACCCCCCTCCCATGTTTTATTAGGCAGCTCGAAATATCTACTGTACCTGCATTTTTATTTTATTCGAAATAAGCATAATCTCATCTTATTACACTCGAAATAACACGTACATTTCATTCTTAACATACACGAATACATGAAAGAACCCGATTTTCATTTTGATATACTCGAAATAAGTAGTTCCCCACGTTTATTACATTCGAAAGAACGCGGCATTTTATTCATGACATATTCAAAGGAAACCGATTTTCATTTTAATATACCCGAAATATGGCTATTATCTTCCAAGATTCAATATATGTATATAAGCTAGATAAGAAAATTAGTACCAAAAAAAAAAAAAAAAAAAACTTTTAAATAAATAAACTAGCGCTAGACCAAATAAGAACTTCGATATATCGATATATTTAACGATAATGCAACTTTGTTTTTTAGTAGCCATTTCATTTCCATGTATGGCTATGTTTGTATAAATCTTAATTATCTATATCATTCTGATGTAATCAATTGCCCGGTCAACTTATTTATTAACAACCTATAGAGAATAGATCATTGCACAAATTCTTAATCTGGACAGGTAATAGTACGAACTTCTTTTTTTTA